TATGGGACGCTGGGAATCAAACCCGGGTCAAACGCGTGCAAGGTAAATGTCCTACATGCTGTGTTATCACTCCAGCCTCTCTCTCTCTCTCTCTGTTTCCATCTCTGTCTGTCTCTCTGTCTCTGTCTCTGTCTCTCTCTTCCCCTCTCTCGGCTCACACACCCAGCGGTGCCCAAGGCTTACTCCTGACTCTGTGCTCACACCTAGTGGGTTCAGAGGACCATATAGGGGATCAAATCTGACTTGGTGCCAACAAGGCAAGCATCCTGGCTGCTTGTATTATTTCTCTGGTTCAGATATTCCTTTCTTTTTATATATTTATTTATTTATTTATTTTTTGCCTTTTGGGTCACACCCAGCGATCCACCAGGGTTACTACTGGCTCTGAACTCAAGAATTACTCCTGATGGTGCTCGGGAGACCCTATGGGTTGCTGGGAATCAAACCCGGGTTGGCTGTCTTGCAAGGCAAACGCCCTACCCACTGTGCTCTCACTCTTGCCCCCATATTCCTTCTTTTAAGTCTACAAATGAATCCTGTAAAGCAGCTGGTTTGGTACCTAGATCTTCATCTCTGTCTTTGATAGCAAAAACCAGCCAAATAGGGGCCGGAAAGATAGTACAGCGGGTAAGGCATTTGCCTTGCTTGCTTTTGACCTGGCTTCGATCCTAGGAGTCTGATATGGTCCCCAGAGCACCACCAGGAGTAATTCCTCAGTGCAGAGCCAAGAGTGAGCCATGATCATCGCAGGGTGTGGACCAAAACCAAAACCCAAACAAAACAAAAAACAGAAACACCCAAAGGGGCACCTGAGGAGAAGGTTGGTTGAAGAGGTGAGGGGACCCCTTCAATGAAGTGGAGACATTTGGAACAACAACAGGCTGTTCAGGGGCCAGAGAAATAGCACAGTGGGGAGGACGTTTGCTTTGCACTTGGCCGACTGGGGTTCGATCCCCGGCTTCCTGTGTGGTCCCAGAGCACTGCCAGGAGTGATGTCTGAGCATAGAGCCAGGGGTAAGCCCCGGGTACTGCTAGTTGTGGCCCACAAACACCAAATAAATCAATTAAAACAAAAGCAAATGGGCCAGGAGCTGGAGTGCTAGCACAGCAGATAGGGCGTTTGCCTTGCACGTGGCTGACCCGGGTTCGATTCCCAGCATCCCATATGGTCCCCCGAGCACTGCCAGGAGTAGTTCCTGAGTGTGTGAGCCAGGAGTAACCCCTGTGCATCGCCCCGGGGTGTGATGCAAAAACAAAAAACAAAAAAAACCCCACAAAAAACAAATGGGCTGTTTGATATTATTTGTCCTTTATTTTCCTGGTCCTGCTCAGAGATCACACGTTCATGTGCCTCGGGGATTGCATTGCTGCATGTGGGGTGGAATGAGGGATTCAACTCAATGACTCACACCTGCAAGACAGACCCTGGGTCATATCCCCAAGCAAGTGGTGGAGTTTGTTATTCCAGTCTTGTTTTGTGGCTCACCTTGTGGTGCTCAGGGCTGACCCGCTGGCTCTGTGCTCAGGGATCACGGCCAGCGGGGCTCTAGGGACCTTATTCCATGGTCCTGCTCATCAGGTCCTTGAGGTGTCGGGGACCACGAGGGCACCCTGGTTGTGGTCAGGGCGACCTGAGCGATATACGAGGAACTTGAAGGCCATATCTGATGGCAGGGAGCCCGCTTCATCTATTTATTTGTTTTGCTTTTTTGCGTCACACCCAGCGATGCACAGGGGTTCCTCCTGGCTCTGCACTCAGGAATTACTCCTGGCGGTGCTCAGGGGACCGTATGGGATGCTGGGAATCGAACCCGGGTCGGCTGCGTGCAAGGCAAATGCCCTACCTGCTGTGCTATTGCTCCAGCCCCATTATTATTATTATTGTTATAATTATTATTATTTCTCAGGGAAGGTACACACTTGGCTGTGCTTAGGGCTTCTGGCTCTGCTCTCTGGATCACTCCAGATCGCTCCTCATGGGTTTGAGGGATCCAATGGGATAGAGGGGATCAAACCTGGGTCCAAGTCACAGCAGCTGATGCTGAATTGAGGGGACGGGGTCCCAGCAGAGCTGGGGATCCAACCTAGAGCCTCAATGTGTTCTCCGCCTTGAGACACTTCCCTAGTCCCATGTCTTTTGTGAAATTTGATGGGCGGCAGGCAGAGCGATAGAATAGCACGTAGGGCGCTTGCCTGGGATGCTGTTGACCTGGGTTTGATCCCCAGTATCTCATGTGGACCTCCAAACTTCGCTGGGAGTAATTCCTGAGCATGGCTGCCAATTGTGACCCACAAACAAACAAAGAAAAGAAAGTAGCAGCAAGAATAGGGCAAGAGTACAACAGGGAGGGTCTTTGGCTTGTACACAATGACCCAGGTTCTATCCCCGGGATCCCATTTGGAGTCCTGTGCACCACCGGGAGTAATTCCTGAGTGCAGAGCCAGGAGTAACCCTTGAACATCGCTGATGTGACCCAAAAAGGAAAAAAAATAGTAGCTTGAACACTAATGGGGGCTAAGGGGTCTCAACCTCTCATACCAACCCCCACCAAAATAGCTCACGAATCCATGAAGGGGAGAAGCCAGGTGTCAAAAGCACTGAAATAAACTATATCCCTGGGGCCCCCTGAACTCAGAAGCATCCCACCCACCCACCCACACACACATATACACACCACACAATGCCTGCTCTGGTAACTCTGGTAACTCAAGTAACCACCCATACTTAGACCCTTGGGAACAAGGGGTCCGGAGTTTTTTTTGTTTTTGTTTTTGTTTTTCTTCTTGGGTTACAACCCATGCACAGGGGCTACTCCTGGCTCTGCACTCAGGAATTACCCTTGGCGGTGCTCAGGGGACCATATGGGATGATGGGATTCGAACCCGGGTTGGCCGGGTGCAAAGCAAACGCCCTACGCATTGTGCTATCGCTCCAGCCCTAGGGGTTCTGAGTTTTTCTGTCCCAAATGACATATCTGAAGCAGGTATGGGAGGTTCTGGTGGGGGAGACTTTGGGGAGGGGGGGGGCTCACGTTCAGGATCTTAGACCCTGGGGGAGTTGGGAGAACACTCCAACCTGAGTGTCTGACTTTGCCTCACCCCCAAGGCCAATGAAGTGAGACCCGCTGAGGAGAGGAAGTGGGCAAGGAAGGAAGTGTGGGGGGGGATTCTGAAAATAGCACCAATCACCCAGCTGACTGGGGTGCAGGAGAGGTCAGGAGACAGCCCAGGAGGGGGAGGGCGCCTTCCATAGGCAGGCCCCTCAGAGTAACACAACATCTCTGTCAGTAGCTGGGGCAGCTCCTCCTCGCCTCACTAACCGCACCCCTAAAATGTGGCCTCCCAGCGGAAAAGCCTGAGGGGAGCATGGAGGCGTGTCAGGGGAGAAGGACCGTTTTTTGGACAGTTATGCCCAGCGGCAGACCCACAGAACTGGCAAGGCTTAAACAGAAATTGATGCAAAGGAACTTTCTTTCATTCGCTGCTTTTGGGGCCGTCACACCCAGTGGTGCTCAGGGGTTACTCCTGGCTCTGCACTCAGGAATTACTTCCGGTGGTGCTCAGGGGACCATACGGGAGGCTGGTGATCGAACCCCGGATTGGCCGCATGCAAGACAAATGCCCTCCCTGTGTACTTTCGCTCTGGCTGCAAAGGAACTTAAAAAAGTTTATTTTTACTTTTTGGGGGGGGGGGACTGGAGCGATAGCACAACGAGTAGGGTGTTTGCCTTGCATGTGGCCGACCCCAGTTCGATTCCCGGCATCCCACATGGTCCCCTGAGCACCGCCAGGAGTAATAATTCCTGAGTGCATGAGCCAGGAGTAACCCCTGTGCAAAGCCGGGTGTTCCCCAAAAAGCAAACAAAAAGAAAAAAGAAAATTTTAACTTTTATTAATATGATTGGATTTCAGGCTTACAAGGTCCCAAAACCTATCCTTGATATTTCCCACCACCAATTGTCTTTATTTTTGGGGTCACTCAGGAATGCTCAGGGGTTACTCCTGGCTCTGCACTCAGGAATTGGTCCTGGCGGTACTTGGGGGACCACATGTGACGCTGGAAATCAAACCGGGCATGGGAAACGTCCTACTCACTCCCTGCTCTCCTCACTGGGGCTCTTAGATTCTTTTTATTTATTTTGTTTTTGGGCCACACCCAGTGATGCTCAAGCAGTTACTCCCGGCCCTGCAGTCAGGAATCACTCCTGGCGGGGCTTGGGGAACCCTATGGAATGCCAGATAACAAACAAGGCAAGCACCCTCTACCCGCTGTACTATATTACTCCAACGCCCCCAGATTGTTTTTCTTTTTTTAATTTGAGTGGGGGTTTCTGGCCATATCTGGCTGTGCTCAGGGATCACTCCTGGCTCGGTGCTCTGGGATTCGATGCCGTGTTTGCATTGGAACCCGGGTGGCGGTTGCAAAAAGCCTCTGACTTTATTGCCTACTTTTTATTTTTATTTTTTTTGCTTTCTGGGTCACACCCAGCGATGCTCAGGGTTTACTCCTAACTCTGCACTCAGGAATTCCTGGAGGTGCTCGGGGGACCATATGGGATGCCGGGGATCGAAACCAGCTCGGCCGCGTGCAAACGCTATCGCGCGGGCCCTTATCTCCCACTTTTGGTCTAGTTCTCAAGTCCTCTGGGACCAGCTTCAGAACCACGTGGCGGCAGCAAACTGGCCTCTCTCAGTGGTGGCAGCAGGGGTGATGTCACCACCGCACCTCAGTCTACCAACGGCAGCTCATTTCTCCAACGACGCTTTTCCCACGACTCCCGGTTCCCAACTTTCTAGGGTCGCAGGAGAAGGCTCTCGCCCCGCTCTCCCCGCCCCGCCCCTCCCCGCGTCGCTCCCGACGGTCACGTGAGCCGCGCTCCCGCGAGGGGCGGGGCCTCCTGGCCGCGCGCACGGCTTTGTGGGACTTGTAGTTCCGGTCCCCGCCCCTACCCGGCGCCACCCGGGGCCCTGAAACTACACTCCCGTCGTGCCTCGCGGCGGCGGGCGGGGGCGGGGCCAGCCGCCGGTTGCTAAGACTTGCGAAGCGCCGCGCTCCCGCCGGTCTCCCCAGGTGAGCGCGTCGCCCCCGGGGTGCCGCGTCGTCGGCGCCCGTGTCGGGTCCTCAGGGGGCCCTGGCGGGCGTGGGGTGGCGGGTGGGCTGCCGGCGGCGCGCTGGGCCGTGCGGGGAGTGAGAGGGGGGTGACCGGGCCAGGCCGGCGGACAGTGTGTGGGCAAGGGCGGGCCGCGGGTGTGCGCGTGCGCAGAGCCGAGGCCTGGCCGCTGGACCCCCCCCCAGCCCTGCGCTGCCCCCTCCGCCCCCCCCGCGTTTGTTACGCGTCTGCGCGCCGCGCTTTCCCCTCCGGGGGTCCTCGCCGGCGGTCCCTTGACCCTGACCCGCCAGTTTCCCCCCCTACCCCCGGTTGCCCCAGAAGTTCGCAAAAATGGGCCGAAAGTTCGTCTAGAATGTGATTCCCCCGCGGCGTTGCGGGGGGATCCTGGCCCTGGATCGCTCCGCCTTCTGCAGGGGAAACCACCTTTGGGGGTGTGTGTGTGTGGGTGGGTGGGGGGAAGGGGGGTGACCGCCTTCCCCTGGAGCACGCCTGGGGACCCACGGCCCCCGCCAGGCTGGCCTGTGCCAACCGGGGTCAGTGGCCAACAAGTAGCCTGGACGGTCCTTGCATGCACCCGAACCGAACCGGGTTGCGTCCTCCGCACCCCATCGGAACCCTCCCTAATCCCCCCCACAGCCCCGCCAGGCGTGACACCCCAAAGCGCAGTCAGGAGTCCACCGTGAGCACCGCCGGGTGTGGGATATGGGCACCCCCCCTTGGCCCCTCCCCAAATAAATAGCTTTCCGCGGAATTCACTTTTTTTTTTTTTGGGCTTTTTACAAAAAAAATTTTGGATCACACCCGGCGATTGCCCAGGGCTTCCTCCTGGCTCTGCACCCAGGAATCACCCCTGGAGGTGCTCCAAGGCTCTATGGGTCGCTGGGGATCAGACCCCAGTCAGCTGTATTTATTTGGCCCTATGAACTCACCTTATTTGGGGCTCGGGGCCCACACCCAGTGTTTCTCAGGCGCTGCTCCCCCCTGGGTGCTGGGGGTTCTGCAGCCTCCGAGCCAGACCAGCAGGGTCTCCGTCCTTTTTTCCCTGGGGGATGTGGGACCACCCCTGGCTATGCTCGGGGCTTACTCCTGGCTCTGCACTCAGGGGCCACTCCTTGTGGTGCTGTGGGGGACCTCATGGGATGCCCCAGATCGAACCCCGGCAGGCAGGAGCCCTCCCAGCTGTCCTATCTATCACTCCAGCCCCAAGCCAGGGCCTCCTGCCTGTAGAGTGAGGCTTCAGCCCATAGCGAAAGCTGTCTGGCCCCCAGAAGGCGTTTTCTTTTTTTATTTTGGGGTCACACCCTTCGGTGCCCAGAGCTGCTGCTTCCTGGGTCTGGGCTCAAGGATCACTCCTGGTGAGTGTGCGGGGGAGGGGAGGGGACCCTATGGGATGCCGAAGATTCAATCTGGGTCAGCTGCGTGCGACGCAGTCCCGTCACGGAGGCCCCTCTGAAAGGGCTTTTCAATGGGGCTCCTTGTGACATCCCGGTGTCCGGGCATCGCCTGCCTTGAGTCACCATCAGAAATGCCCATTTCGGGGGCTGCCGCTCTGGAAGTAGAAATTGACGACCCAGATTGAATCCTAGGCATTCCCCAGATCCTGATCCTGGGGAGAAGGGTCGGACCCCAACATTGTCAGGGAGAGGTACAACCTGAATAAAAATGAAGATTTGGAGCCCGTCCCCAAACCCTGTGGCCAGGTTTGGGGGACCTGTTAGCCCAGTCCCATGCTGCTCTGGGCACTCTCCCTGTGGTACCCCCATTCCAGCACTCATGGGGTACCCCTAGACTGGCATGGCTGGGTGCCCCCCACCCTCGGGCAGTTCAGGAGCTCCCTGATGCACTTTTTATCTTTTTTGTTTGTTTCAGGGTGACATCACGCGGTGCTCAGGACTTATTCCTGGCTCTGCACTTAATTTCTTTTAGCGGGGGCTGACTCGGGGACCCTAGGGCATGATGCATGCAAGGCAGACAGTCTGCATGCTGGACTACTGCTCCTGCCCCTGTTTTTCTTTATTTTATTTTTTACGTTTTTGTCTCCACGGGGGCCATGCTCAGGGCTGACTCCTGGTGCGGTTGAGGGGGGCGGGACCCAGATGGGTGTCGTGCGTGGCCAGCACTGTACCCACGAACCACGACTTCCCCAGTTCCCCTCTCTCTGACAGATGCTGGGACTGGGGGTGAGGAGCGGTGTGTCCAGCCCCAGGGTTAGAGGCCTGGACACAGGGAAGCGCGGGCGCGCGTGGGGGGGGCACACACTCCCGATTCTCGGTACCTGACACCCTCACCAAGGTTGAGGTGAAGTTTACTCACCCCACCTGACCACTCCTGCCTGCCCCCGGGAGGAAAACAAGGCTTCCCTCCCCCACTTTTCCCCTAGAGTAAGGACACACCCCCACACCCACTCTGGGGGCTCCTCCCAGCTTTGGGGTGACGGCCACCTTCACATGCAAAGTCTGAGCTGAGTGCACTGATCTCCCTCCCACTTTCTGATGGGGTGCCGGGGGTGGGGCGGTCATATACTCCCCAGGGCCTAGCTCGGGGTGGCGGGGGGAGGGGGCCATCTCCTCTGTCCTCAGAGCCTGCCGTGTACCTGCCACTTGGAGGGCTCGTGGCCCATCTGCTGTGTGCCGAGGCCCTGCAGGGCCAGGTGCTTACCATGTCCAGCTGTGGCCTTCCTGGTTCCGTGTTTTGTTTGTTAGGTTGGTGGTTTGTGTTCTTGCCCCCTGTCCGGGGATCTTCAGACACTGCACCTGTGATCAGTGCTCAGGGGTCACTCCCAGAGGGGCTCGGAGGACCATGTGGTGCCAGTGTGGATCCTAGGTCTCTCACATCCAAATACATGCCCAGCCTTTTGAGCTATCCCTGCCCCCTGCGTCCATTTCTTCTGGGCTGACAGCCGGGCTGCTGGTCCCGGGACACAGGGTCACTCAGAGCAGGAAAAGGACCCCATTTTCTTTGATGTGGGGACCACATCCCATGGTACTCAGGTTAATCCTGACTCTGCACTCAGGGATCACTTCTAAGTGGACCCAAGGGATCATACGGGTTGCTGAGGATCGATTCTGGGTCAGCTGTGTGCAAGGCAAGCGCCCACATGCTATACTACTGCTCTGTCCCCCCCCCCCCAGAAAGACCTATCTTGCAGCGGGGCTCACATGGCAGAGTTGGGGAGCTGTTGGGTGCAGCTCTGAGCTTTGGTTCTGGGGCCCAGCTGCTGGGTGGGACCCCAGCTCTGCCTGTCCTGGCCAAGGCACCCTTCCTGTCTCACTTCCTGGGACCCAAAATCTTGGAGGGCATCTGATCGTCTTTCCCCCTTCCCTTCCCGGCTTCTGTTTTTATTTTGGGGCCTCCTGGCAGGGCCTGGGGAACTGTACGGGATGCCAGGGATTGAACCCGGATCGGCCACGTGCAAGGCAAGTGCCCTCCCCCCTGTCAGGTCACTCTGACCCTCGCACAGCGGTCCTTAAGCCCTGTATCATCTCTGCTCCACTTCCTAGCTTCTGGGGGTTTGGGTTGGGGGCCACACTCGGCAGTGCTGGGGGTGGACTTGGGGTTGGCTGTGGGCAAGGCACGCGCCTCCCCCCTGCATCGTCTCCCCAGCCCCCCCCCCTTCCCAGTTCCTTTCCGGCATGTTTGGTTTGTCCAGTTTTGGCCCTGACCCAGGTGGTGCTCAGGGAACCTTCTGTTTTTAATTTTTGTCTTTTTTGGGTCACACCCGACGACACTCAGGGTTACTCCTGGCGGTGCTGTGGGATGCCAGGGATCAAATCCCATTCGGTCGCGTGCAAGGCAAATGCCCTGCCTGCTGTCCTGTCGTGTCCGGCCCCGCTTAGGGGGGCCTTATGGGATGCCGGGGATCGCATCCGGGTTGGCCGTGTACAAGGCAAACGCCCTCCCCACTATCCCGTCGCTCCAGCCCCGTCTTTCCCAGCGCTGTCCAGGCGAGCCTTCGCAGGGTCTTAACAGGGTGGCCACACAGTACTCTGACAGTACACTCCTCAGAGCCATTGCCCCCAGGGGGCTGGACACTGCCTTGCATGCCCTGGGTGCCAACATCGCTCCCACGCCCCGGGCCCGGATGGTGGCCCAGCTGTGATTTCTACCTCTGTCTCCGGAGTCGGCGCCCCACCCACAGAGCCCCGACAGCTGCTTCCTTTTCCTTTGTGCCCCCCCCCCCCAGATCCCCCACCGCTTCCTCTTTGTCCCTGATTCGGTTCTCTGGCCAGACAAGAGGGGACACTCTGGGTGGCACAAGCGACGCGGCAGTCTTCTGCCCTCCCGACACTGGGAGCTTTGTGATCACGGGGAGCTGGGCTGGGGGGTGGGGGGACGAGCACAGACTGCGGGGGGCCGGGCTGGTGTGTGCCCTGGTTCTGTGTGAGCGCCACACCCCAAACGCGTGCTTGGGCTGCGCCATGGCGGCAGGGGAGGGGAGCGGGAGTGAGGGGTGGGTGCATCAAGGTGATCAGTGATGCCCAGTCTGCTGGGAAGAGGCAGGACCGTCCTCTCATGGACACTGAGGGACACCGTGCCAGCCCTTTGGCCGTGGCTTTCAGATGCCATTATGCCCCGGGCAGTGCTGGGGTGATACGTTTATTTACTTATTTATTTTTTTTGCTTTTTGGGTCACACCCGGCGAAGCAAGAGAGTTATTCCTGGCTTTGCACTCAGGAATTACCCTCTGGCGGTGCTCAGGGGACCCTATGGGATGCTGGGAATCAAACCCGGGTCGGCCGTGTGCAAGGCAAACGCTCTCCCCGCTGTGCTATTGCTCCAGCCCCTACTTATTTATTTTTCACTTTTTGGGTCACAGCTCAGGGATTTCTTCTGGCTCTGCACTTATGAATTACTCAGGGAGGTGCTTGGGGAACCATATGGGATGTCGGGGATTGAACCTGGGTCGGCCGCATGCAAGGCAAACGCTTTCCCCGCTGTACTATCGCTCTGGCCTCGATTTCCTTTTTCTTTTTTTCTTTTTTTTCTTTTTGCTTTTTGGGTCACACCCGTGATGCACAGGGGTTACTCCTGGCTCATGCACTCAGTAATTACTCCCGGTGGTGCTCGGGGGACCATATGGGGATGCTGGGAATCGAACCCGGGTCGGCTGCATGCAAGGCAAACACCCTACCCACTGTGCTATCACTCCAGCCCCCCGATTTCTTTCTTTAGGGCCCCCAAAGCAGAGGGTTGGCTGCTTCAGTCTGTGGATGGCAGCGCTAGCCGGAAGGGTGCCAAGGGGCATTTCAAAGCCTGCCTCACAGTTTTGCTCTAGGTGCTTCTTGAAGCAGTGGCGGGGTTTAGGGTGCCGCTGCCCCCACCCCCATAACTAGAGATTCACCTGGAGGGGCCCAAGAGAGAGTGCATAGGGGAAAGTGCTCGCGTGGCATGGCGCGGCACCGACCCCAGTTTGACCCCCAGCAGCCCTGGAGGCCGCCAGGCAGTGCTGGGCCCGGAATCCTCCTAGTGCAAAGTGGTCTAGCGCAGAATCTCTGAGGGGCTCCCCTCAAAGAAGGAAAAAGGAGGCAGCCTGCCCACCTATAGGGCTCAGGAGACGCCAGTGGACAGAGCCCCACCGGGAACTTCCCCCGAATCCTGGGCCAGACGCATCTCCCTTCTCCCCACCTATGGTCTGAAGCCCCAAAACCAGTTTGTTTTGTATTGTTGGGGGGTGGGGAGTCCATACCTGGCAGTGCTCAGGGTTGATTCCTGGCTCTGCGCTGAAGAATTACTCCTTACTGTGCTCAGGGGACCCTATGGGATACCCAGGGTGGAACCCGAGTCCCCCGCATGAAGGTGAGGGTCCTCCCTGCTGCACTGTCGCTCAAGCCCCTCCCCCCCAACCCAGTTTAAAAAGAAAAATCCACCTGTCGCGTTTGTTTGGGGGTTTGTTGTATTTTTGGGGGGGACACGCCCGGCGATACTTAGGGCTGACTCCTGGCAGTACTCAGGGGACCCTAGAGGGTGCTGGGATTGAACCCAGGTTGGCCCCATCCAAGGCCAGCGCCCTCCCTTGCCGTGCTGTGTCTGACCTCTCCAACGTCGATTCTATTCTGGACTCGGGGGCCACCCATGGTGGGGCTCTGTACTCAGGAGGGATGCCTGGCGGTGCTTTGGGGAGACCCTGTGTGATGTGGGCGATTCAAACAGCTTGGCAGGGGTCACTCCGAGACCTTCGCCCCCTGCCCCCTGCCCGGACTGCGGGCCTCCCGCCCTCCGCAGCCTTCTTCCTTTCCGAAAACCAAATTAGAGGCCCGGGTTCTGGAGAATCCTGGGCCGCGATGGGGCGCCCGGGCCTGCGGAGAGACGGAAACCGGCCCCCGGAGGAGGCGGAGTGCATCGAGGACGCATCGACGGACCGACGGACAGCGCCCATCCGATCCAGGCCCACCCCCTCCCCAGCCACCGGTGGAGCCCCGGACCCGCACGTCCCCCGTGACCCCTGCCGTGTCTGTCTCCCGCAGTCGCCGCCCGCCGCGAGGATGGAGGCCGCGCCGTGGCACGCGGTGCCCGTGCTGTCCGAGCAGCAGTCCGGCGACGTGGAGCTGGTCGCCGCCTACGCCGCCCCGGTGCTGGACCCGCGCCAGACGTCCCGCCTGCTCCAGGAGGTGTCCGCCCTGCACCCGCTGCCCGCCCAGACGCACCTCAAGCGGGTGCGGTCCAGCCCCGCCGCCGGCGGCCACGCGCTGGACCTGCTGCTGTGCCTGGCCGGGCCGGCCGGGGATCCGGCCGGGGCCACCGCGGTGCCCTCGCTGGCCCAGCTGCTGCCCGCGCCGGCCGTGGACCCCCGCGGCCTGGGCGCCCCCTTCCGGGTGGCCGTGCCCGCGCGGCCGCCGCTCACCCGGCGCCAGTTCGAGGCGGCGCGGGCGCACTGGCCCACGGCGTTCCACGAGGACCGGCAGGTGACGCGCGCGCTGGCCGGCCAGCTCTTCTCGGCGCCCGAGCGGGCAGCGCTGCAGGCGCACATGGAACGCGCCGTGCGGGCGGCGCGGGGGGCGGCGGCGCGGGGCCTGCGGGCCGTGGGCGCCGTGGTGGTGGACCCGGCGGGCGGCCGCGTGCTGGCCACGGCCCACGACTGCCGCAGCCCCCGCCAGCCGCTGCTGCACGCCGCCCTGGTGTGCCTGGACCTGGTGGCGCGGGGCCAGGGCCGCGGCGCCCTCCAGCTGGACCTGGCCGGCCACCCGGGCTGCTCGTACGCGCCGCCGCCCAGGGCCTGCGCGGGCGCCGTGCGCAAGCTGGACGAGGCGGACGCCGACGCCGACGGCCAGGTGCCCTACGTGTGCACCGGCTACGACGTGTTCCTCACCCGCGAGCCCTGCGCCATGTGCGCCATGGCGCTGCTCCACTCCCGCGTGCGCCGCGTCTTCTACGGGGCCGCCTCGCCCGACGGCGCCCTGGGCACCCGCTTCCGCCTGCACGCGCGCCCCGACCTCAACCACCGCTTCCAGGTCTTCCGTGGGGTGCTGGAGGCCCAGTGCCGCGCCCTGGACCCCGACCCGTAGGCGCACCCGCCCGCGTCGCCGATGCCTTCTAGAACTTCCAGTGCTGCGCCCACCCAGGGCAGGACTCCGACCCAGGACCTTCCCTGCCTCCCCCTCGGACTCTGCGGCCGCCCCCCTAACCCCCCCGTGCTGCGGGCTGCCATCCTGCGGATTTTAGGGTCACCCCCTCGCCGACCTCCCACCCCACAGTATCCATCAGGGTCAGCCCCGCAGTCGTGAGGGGACCTCGAGGCCTGTGTCCCCCTGGTGTGTGGGGTCAGGGAACTGCCCTGATGGTGGGTGACCCGTGGCAGAAACCGAGCCTCGCCAAAGAAGAAGAACACGATAGCGATAAAAGTCAAACGTGGAGAAACGAAATAAAACCCGATCCCCAAGTCACCCCAATGCAAGTCACTCTGTGTGTTGTTAGAGGGGGTGGGGGGTGGGGACCATGTGTGTGTGGCCAACCTGACCCCTGACCCACGTTCTCAGAGCCCTGGGTGTGATCCCCCAGCACCACATGGTCCCCTGAGCACCCCCAGAACACTCTGCCCCCACAAGCTGAAACAAAAAGGCTCCCTCAGGACCACCCCATGGCTGTTTGTGGCCGGTGGCTGAGAGGGTCCCAGCGGGATGTGGGTGCGTCTGTCCAACATGGCTCGGCTAGACACCAGGGGCCACCCTGCCCCCAGGAGCCTGTGGGTCTGGTGCAGGGGACCCCTGAGTGGCGGGGATACTGGGGGCCTCTGGCACTGAGCTGTTAACTGGGTCGGCCTGTGGGATTCTCAGCACTGTGCTGGGGGGGCAGTGCTCGTGGAGGCTGCCGCTGCAGAGATCACCCCCAGTACTGGGTTCATGGGGGAGGGGGCACTTCCAAGACCCTCAAGAGGGCTGGAATCGGTGCTGCCTGCCCCCAGGTGGGGCCTGAGAGAAGTTTAGAGTCGGGAAAGGGGCCAGAGTGATTGTCCAGAGGGCGTTTGCCTTGCGCGCAGCCAACCCGGGTTCGATTCCCAGCATCCCGTATGGCCCCCTGAGCACTGCCAGGGGTAACCCCTGTGCATTGTCGGGTGTAACTCGAAAAAGCCAAAGAATAAAATAGAGTCAGGGGAAAGTGGGGGTTCTGGGGAGTCGAGCCGTGAGGGCGTGGCACTGCCCAGTAGGCTCGGGGCCGACGGCGCTCCGGGGGCAGCGCTGCCCGCTCCCTGACCACTGTTTTCTCTCCAGGTGGCCGCAGGCTTGGGCCCTGCCCAGTTGGCACCGCGAAAATGTCAGGTAAGTTTTCTGGGGAGCCCAGGGGCCTCTTCCCACTGCCCTGGGTGGTCAGACCCCCACAGTTCATCTCTCATCCCTCCTCCCACAGAGGACACAGCCTCCTGCCTCAGCCTCCCACAGTGACCCCGGGCCCCTCGGCCTCACTCCCACAGTGGATGTACATGCTTTTATTTTATTTTATTTTTTTTTTGCTTTTTGGGTCACACCCGGCGATGCTCAGGGGTTACTCCTGGCTCATGCACTCAGGAATTACTCCTGGCGGTGCTCGGGGGACCCTATGGGATGCTGGGAATCGAACCCGGGTCGGCCATGCTGGCTGCGTGCAAGGCAAACACCCTACCTGCTGTGCTATCGCTCCAGCCCCGGATGTACATGCTTTGCGGGAAACACATACCAAAATTTGACTTTCCAGGGTCCTCTATAGAACCAGTATTGAAATCAGACCTCTTGTCTCACCAGCTCCCCCACAGTGGAACTTACAGCTCCCCAATGTCTGAACCCCTTCCCCATGATGGGTCTCACAACCCCCCCCTTTATTTTTCTTTTTGGGTCACACCTGGTGATGCACAGGGGTTCCTCCTGGCTCTGCACTCAGGAATTACTCCTGGTGGTGCTCGGGGGACCGTATGGGATGCTGGGAATCGAACCCAGGCTGGCCGCATGCAAATGCCCTACCCACTGTGCTATCATTCCAGCCTTCACAACCCCCCTTGACCCCCACGTCCCCCTGTTCCCACACCCCCTCCTCGATGCAGCCCTTCTGCCCCTCACAGTAGAACCCGCTTCTCTGAAGGGTGACGGCCCTGGGCCATCTCCCCCAGGGCTCATGTCTGCGTGACCCAGTGCTAGGGGCAAGCAGACAGGTGCCTCCCAGAACTCAGTGCCCAGGGCACTTGTTGGGGCATCCCTCCCTGAGGCACGGAGGCCGTGCCCCTCACTTGTCTTGGCTCTAATCTCGAGGCACCTCACAGTGCTCCGGGCGTCCGTGGCTTCCTGGGGGCCACCTCCCCGCTGCTGCTCACTCCAGGGCCCCCAGGATCGCCGCCTTCCCGTCTCCTACACTGACAGTCACGTGTGCTGAGGCCCTGCTTTCAGTGGGGTGCAGACCCCGCACCTGGCTGCAGTGACCGTCCCTGTAGGTGTGAGGACGCGCCCCGCCCCGCACAGGCAGAGGGGACCTTCCCAGAGCCTCAGGGAAGCTCCCGAACAGGGGGGACCAGGAAGGACTGGTGGGACCGGCCGTGGGATGCGGGGCCCCACCGGTGGCATCTGGGCTCCGAGGCTGTGCCCGTCACTGCTGGTGTGGCCCCTGGGGGTTCCTGTCTGGTCTTGGCCGGCCTCTGGGGCGCCACTCCTAGGCAGGGTCCTACCCCCACCTCCAGGCCGAGCCCAGTGCAGACTCCCCTCCCCCCCCCACCGGGCCCACCAACCTTGCATGAAAACCCTTGGCGGGGGGTGGGGGTCAGGGCCTGGGACCCACCCTGTGCCAGGGCCGTCACCTCCGCGCGGGCGTCGGTGTACCCCACCCCTCAGTGTCTGGCGCCTCCGCCCACTCCTGGCCCGCAGGGAAGGAGCCCAATTTCCCGCCGCTGCCCCGCTTCGTGCCCCTGAAGCCCTGCTTCTACCAGAACTTCTCCGACGAGATCCCCATCGAGCACCAGAGCCTGGTGAAGCGCATCTACCGCCTGTGGCTGTGTGAGCTGGGGGGCGCCGAGGGGAGGGGGGGCGCGGGGGCTGGACCACACCGTGAGCTGCTGCCTGTCAGCCCAGGCTGGGGGCGGGGGCCAGCACCTGCACCCCCAGCCCCAGTCTGGCTGGTGGGTCCGGCAGGCGGCAGGTGGGGAGGCACCTCCCTTTTCGTCCCAGGCCCCCCATGCTCACTTCTTCCCCGTGCCCCCCAGTCTACTGTGCCACCCTCGTGGTCAACCTGGTGGCCTGCCTGGCCTGGTGGATCGGCGGCGGCTCGGGGGCCAACTTTGGCCTGGCACTGCTCTGGCTCCTGCTCTTCTCGCCCTGTGGCTATGTGTGCTGGTTCCGGCCCGCCTACAAGGCCTTCCGGTAAGGGCCCGCCCCGGGTTCCAGCCCCGGCCTCACCGAGCACTGTGTGTGCCCCGCCAGGAATAGCCCCCGAGCATCGAGAAACAGACTCCAGGGCCCCTTGCTGTGCTGTGTGTGCGCCCGGCGCCCCCCACCCCACCCGACCCCAGGCTCTCTCTGTCCCACCAGCTTGGCCCCTTGGGGTGATGGCCAGGTGACTGCCCCCGGGTGCCCGTGCCTGTGCTGTGCTTTGTTTGGGGGTTTGGGGGCTGTACCCGGCTATGCTTGGGGGCTGCTCCCGGCTCAGAAGCACGGGGGTCACTCCTGGTGGTGCTGGGAGTCACACTTGGGGCTCCGGCATTCACGGTCTGTGCCCTGGCCCTTGGGCCGTCTCCGGTCCCTGGTCCACATGGAGATGGAAGTTCAGGTGCGGCACAGCTCATCTCCGTGACACTCCCAGGGATCCCCCTGAAGTCCACGTCGCCCCAGCACCTGCCCCTGCCTGCCCAAGGGTCCCCTCTGGACGTCTCCATCCGGCCCCTGCTCCGGCTCTCCCGGGGGTGTCCTGGGTCTCAGGGGAACGGGGGTCCCCGGGAGGGGGGTGCTCTTGTGCCTGGTCCCCATGGGCCACAGGCTGTCCCCTCTCGTAGCCACTGCCCGCCATGTGGGGGTACATGGTGCTCAGTAGGAACCCAGGTGCCCTTGGGCATGTCAAAGGGTCCCCCAGAAGGGAAGGAGAAGGAGCCCCCCTCCCGCCCACGGGGCTACGTGGCACCATGCGTGGAGGTGCAGGAAGGCCCTGGATATGGGTGCTTGGGGGGCAGCTGGGGGTGCCCCCCCATTTGTTCCCTTGGAGCAGAGCTAGATGTGCCTGGCCCTCCTCAGCCAAGCATGTCCCCTGTCCCCCTCCCCATGTGGGGTGCCCACGGGTGCCCGGGACCGTCTGGAGCCCCTCCTGCGGGGCTGGCGGGCTGCCCCTTGCCCCTGCCCGCCCACTGCTGGGGGCCTCGCTCATGGCTGTGTCGTCCCCAACCCCCCAGGGCCGACAGCTCCTTCAACTTCATGGCGTTCTTCTTCATCTTCGGTGCCCAGTTTGTTCTCACCGTCATCCAGGCCGTGGGCTTCTCGGGATGGGGCGCATGGTAAGCTGCACCCCCACATGAGCCCTGGCTGAAAGCAAGCCCTCAGCCTTTAGAGAAACGTTCAGTTTATTGGTTGGTTGATTTGGGGCGGGTGCGTCCCACAGAGACGAGGCCCTGCACGGGGCCAACCTTGGTTTGGGCCCCGTCACCCCATAAGGTCCCCGAAGCCCTGTCAGGAGTGATTCCTGGGTTTTTTGTTGTTGTTGTTGTTTTACTTTTTGGGTTGCACCCAGCGATGCTCAGGGGTTACTCCCGGCTCTGCACTCGGGAATTACTCCTGGTGGTGCTCAGGGGACCCTATGGGATGCCAGGGATTGAACCCGGGTCGGCCATGTGCAAGGCAGACACCCTCCCCACTGGACTGTCGCTCCGGTCCCAGGACTTATTCTTGAGCGCAGAGTCAGGAGTAAGTCCTAAGCACTGCTGGGTGTGACCCCAAAACCAAGGGCCCCCGCCTTTCCTCCCAGGCCAGGCCGGCTGCAGTCCCACCATGGGCCGCCAGGGGGTGCCAGAGGCACACCGCATCATCCTTTCCTGGGCTTCAAGCCTGCTCGCCTAGCCAGGTGCCATGGGGCGGTGGGGGGACCCACAGCCCAGTGCCTGTCCCTCCAGCTGCCCTGTGGCCTCATCTGCCCCGCGGGACACGTGTTGCCTGGCAGCGGTGTCCCGGCACCTCCCTGGAGGTGGCGAATGCAGCTCCTGCTGGCCTTAGGGGACCCGCTCTCAGCTTGGGGTTGCCCTGGGAGCACACGGCAGGGACCTGCGGGGGGCAGAGCTGAGCTTCCCTCACTTCCCCTCAGTCCTGGGGTGCCCCGGGGGGAGCACGAGAGCCTGAGGGGCACCTCAGTCCCCTCCTCAGCATAGCCCACACAGGACTGGGGGTGCATGGTGCTTCCTTTTCTTAGGGGCTGCCCCCCCTCATTGCTGGGGTCTGGGTTCCCATCAGGCCCATGGCCTTCTCCAGTCCTAAAATGGCTCCTCTGTTTATCCCCCTCCAAATTATTTTTCTGGCACCTTCTTCGGGGGGGCCCAGAGGGTGTTCCCGTCTGCTGTGTCTGAGCATGTGTTGGAGTGTTCTTTTTTTTTTTTGGCTTTTTGGGTCACACCCAACAATGCACAGGGATTACTCCTGGCTCATGCACTCAGGAATAACCCCTGGAGGTGCTCAGGGGACCCTTTGGGATGCTGGGAATCGAACCCGGGTCAGCCGTGTGCAAGGCAGACGCCCTGCCCGCTGTGCTATCGCTCCAGCCCCTGTTGGTTCCTTTCATGGGGGCCGCATGAGACCAGGGGCGGGCGCGGCCTCTGGACACCCCCCACTCCTTGCCCCCTGGCCCCTCACCCCGCTCTCGCTCTCCGCAGCGGCTGGCTGGCGGCGATCAGCTTCTTCCAGAACAGCGTGGGGGCGGCCGTGGTCATGCTGCTGCCCGCCATCATGTTCTCCATGGCTGCCGTGGCCATGGCGGTGCTGATCGTGAAGGTAGGGGTCCGGAGCCGGGAGGGTGGGGAGAGATGTGGGATTGGCCCCCGGGGTCCCTAGCCCCTGACGAGGTTCGAGGGACGGGAAATTCAGCTGAGCAAAGTCTCAAGCCGCCCCCACCCCAGCTCACGCATCTGGGGTGCAGCCCCGCCGGCCCCCCGCGGTCACAGGCCCCACAGAGGCGGTCCTGGCAGGCTCGTCAGGAACTCTGGAAATGCTGCCGGATCTCAGCCTGAAAAAGTCCTGCACTTGGCCCTGAGAGCCACCTTGGCCCCCAGCCCGAGGGACGAGGCCCTGGGCCCCTGGAGCCCAACCATTGAACTTCCCGACTCCATTGGCCGAGTGTCCTCAAGTCGCCTCTGGGTCCCCTAAGCGCAGCTTAGAGCCCCCCAGCTTCCCTTAAAAAGGGGACAAAACAGTAGGATCCCCCCATCCCCCCTAAGCTGCAGGTGACTCCTCCGCCCTCGGAGTCCTGGTGCCGCCACCCCCGTGTCCCCCTGTTCTGCTTCGCTCGGGGCTGCCCCCAGCACCTCCCTGGGAAGCCAGGCTGAGCTGAGCCCTTCCGGAGTCAGGGGCCCTCAGCTCCCCCACATATGCACCCCAAGCTGCTGACCCCGAGAGCAAGAAACGGGGGCCGTCCCCAGCATGGACGTCAGCAGGGCTGGGCAGTGTGAGGGGGGCCCAGGTCCACTCCCACAGCAAGGAAGCAGCTCACGGCTTGGCACCCCCAAAGCCGCAGCCTTGGCAGCAGACAGCAGGGGCGCCCTTGGGGGTTTCCCCTGGGCAACCAGTGCTGGTCCCCAGAGATGGCCCGCCTGCGGGGTGCAGGGCCCAGACACCCCCATTGCACAAAGCAGGGTGGACAGGGACACCCACGCCTGAGTGTGACCAGGATGCAGCCGCCTTCCCGGCCCCCGGGGCCTCCCAGGTTGCCACTGAGGGGTGGAACTTGGTGTCCATGTTCTGGCAAGGAGAGGGGGTGCCGCACCCCGACTTTACCTCACGGCACGACTCCCTCTCAGAGCTGATTCCGAGTGACATGCCGTTGGCCTCTGTGACCACCCCCCCCCAACGAATGCCGTTTTTCTGACTGCCCCTTCTCCCCCGTCCCCAACCCCCCACAGGTACACAGAATCTACCGGGGGACCGGTGGAAGTTTCCAGAAGGCACAGACCGAATGGAGTGCCGGCACTTGGCGGGACCCGCCCTCGCGGGAGGCCCAGTTCAACAACTTCTCGGGGAGCAGCCTGCCCGAGTACCCCACCGTGCCCAGCTACCCGGCCAGCGGTGGCCAGTGGCCTTAGAGAGCCCCGCGGGGTCGCGGCCATCTCGCACGCACTGCCCAGGCGCCCCGCTGGCTCCCAGGATGCCGGCCCCCAAGACTGCCTCTCCCCTGGGGCCTCCTGGCAAGCAGGACCCCCTGTCCATCCGCATCCCCCCTCTGCTCCCAGGGACCGGGCACTCGGATGGCTGCAGGACCCCGTTCTGTTGGGGCAGGGGTGACGCCGGCGCGCCCCCACTGTGCCAACGTCAGCTGGTGGGTGACACTCGTGTGCCTTAATGAGGAATCTCGACCCCGGGGCCCTCTTCCCCGCCTCCCCTCCGTGCGCCCCACCCCTGGGCTTCCCCAGCACCGGGGTCCCCGGAAGAACTGGAAAACCTTCTGGAAGGCCCAGCCCTTGCTGGCGGGCCTCGCTGTTGCAGGGGTATGGACGGAGCGAGCCTTGTGTACCCCCAGCCCCTGTCCTCTCCCCACGCCCTCCCAGGAGCCTCCCCGGCGGCCCCAGCGTCTCCCCTGCTCAGACCTGCCGGGGTCGGCTCCTTGTGCCATGCACTGCTCGGGCATGAAGGGGCCAGGGTCCCTGAAAGGGGCAGGCGGGCCTCCGGGATGAAAGAACCAAGCCGTGGGGCCCCGGCCCCCGAGAATGGCGGCCAAACCTGGTGCCCTGGTACCACCCCCACGGGACGAGCTGTTCTCCAGGCTTCAGCTGGGTGCCAAGCAGGTGTCCGCAGCGGGCGCTCGTGGGCAGGTGCTCACAGTGGGGGGTTCGCGGGCAGGTGTTCATGGCAGGTGTTCACGGCAGGCTGGCCCGGCCCCCTCCTGAGTCCTCCCCCATGGACTTTGCGCCTTTGTTACAGTTTAGTGGTTTTGTTACTGAAAACAGCCTAGAAATAAATAACTTTGTTCATGAGACCCAGCGTCCTGTGGGGCCGTGCCCTGTGCTCCCGTGTACATGTGCATGTGCCCAAGACTCCTGTCCCCAGAGCGGGCTGCAGGGCTCTAACACCACCTAACTGGGTGCCCCAGCCCACAGGCCCTTCCCGCAGGCCCAAATCCCAGCTCTCAGATCAGCCAACTGCTTTTCACCTCAAATCGGTCTTCGTTGAAAAGGGAAAGTCACTGAACGCAGAGGAAGGTGGCAGCTGACGCCCCCCACCCCTGAAGGGACAGCCCAGGGAATGTGGCCACAGTGGAGGCGGCGCCATCCCCAGAGGCCCAGCAAAGGTCGGGGCCGCTCTGGAGTGTTGGTGGAGCTTCTGCTCCAAGACCCAGGCTCCTGGGCAGAATAGATATCACCAGTTAGGAGGTGCGGTGCCCACCTTGCCCTCCTGTGCCCTGAGCAGACATCACCAATCAACAGGTGTTCACCCACCACCTGTGCCTCGGGCAGACATCACCAATCAACAGGTGTTCACCCACCACCTGTGCCCAGGGCAGACCTCACCAGTGAACAGGTGTTCACCACATGTGACCCAAAAGCACACTGAGAGCAGTCCCCGTGAGATGGCGAGCTGGCACGTGAGCTTCGCATGCAGGAGCCTGAGCTGAATTCTGGGGCCACGCGGTCCCCTGACCACTGCCAGAAGTGACCCCCGAACGCAGTGCAGCGCCGCCGCCAAACGTGGCTTCAAAACAAAACTAACATTAAGGGCCTCTGCCAGGGGTGGGGAGGGAGGAGTTTAGGCCACATCTGGTGGTGCCTTGGGGCTACTCCCAGCTCTTGGCTCGGGAACCGCCCTTGTGGAGCTGAAGGGACTTGATGCGGTGCCGAGGATAGAACCTGGGTCAGCACATGCAAAGCCAGCACTTGGCCCTCGTCCTCTCTCTCTGGCGCCTAGTTTCTGCTCTAGGGCCACCCCTGCACAGTGGCGGCACTAAGGAGACTGCAGTGCCCGGGATGGAGCCAGGCCTCCCGAAGGCAAAGTCAATTTGAGCCTTCCGTTTATTGACTGTTTTGGGTCACACCCAGCGATGTGAGGTCTAAGGTGAACTCCCTCCCTCTGTGCCGTCACTCTGCTCTCAGTCCCAAGTGCCTTTTACTTTTTTGCTTTGTGGGTCACACCCAGTGATGCTCAGGGGCTCCTCCTGGCTCTGCACTTAGGAATTAACTCCTGGCGGTTCTGGGGAGACCCTATGGGATGCCGTGGATCGAACCTGGGTCGGCCGCGTGCAAGGCAAACGCCCTACCCGCTGTGCTATCTCACTCCAGCCCCGACCTTTTGGGTGTGTTTTTTTTTTTTTTTTTTTTTGCTTTTTTGCGTCCCACCTGGCGATGCACAGGGGTTATTCCTGGCTCTGCACTGCACTCAGGAATTACTCCTGGCAGTGCTCAAGGGGACTCTTTGGGATGCTGGGAATCGAACTGAGGTCAACTACGTGCAAGGCGAACGCCCTATCCGCTGTGCTATCGCTCCAGCCCACCTTTTGTTTTTGTGTGTGTTTCTGATTTGGGGGCTACACCCCCTCATCTTCAGACCTGGGGCTTGCTCCTCACAGTTCTTGCGTACCAAAGCGGTATCTCTGGCTTGCAGTCTTAAAGTCCAGCCACCACAGTCCAGCCCATTGCGTGCCCTCCCCACACCGCATATCTGTGTCTTTGTTTTGTTTGGGGGACCACACCCAGCGATGCTCAGGGATCACTCCTGGCTCAGCGGTCAGGACTCACTCTTGGTGGGGTTCAGGGAATTGAACCCGGGTCAGCCATGTGCAAGGCAAGCGCCCTCTACCACTGTCTTCTTGCCCCCCAGATCTGCTGTTTCACACCTACAGGGCGACTTGGCTATAGTTGCCCCAACAAGGAGTTCACGGAGCCCCGAAAAGCCGAGATTGGAATCTGGTGACTGGGCAGAGGAGGAGGGGGAGAGGCCAGAGCTCCAAGCATGTTCTGGAAGGTGGCCTCTTGTTCCTTTCAACCACCTCTGGGGGTAATCTAGGGATCCCGCTAATGTCCCCCAACCAAAAGTTTCAGTGAATGTATTAAACTCCCGAAAAGCAAATCCCGGGGACTTCCTGGAGGCAGCCAGGTAGATAGTCTGGGCTCATTTTTGGAGCTGAGTGTGGGGCCAAGCTGTGAGGTGTGAGAGGGAGGTTCTACCTGTTGGGGAGCAGGGTCTGGTTGGCAGCTGCCGGCCCCCCAGGAGCAAAGAGACAAAGAGACAAAGAGTCCTGGGGAGGACTGGGAACTGGGAAGGTGGGTTTTGTGGTAGAACGTCTGCCCGGCATACTCGAGGCTCTGGGTTGGATCCCCAGATACAGGCACTGTGTGCACTGTGGGTGTGGCCTGCGTGGTTGCCAGCATCAGTGGACCAAATTGTCTTCCTTTTTTTTTTTTTTGCTTTTTTGGGTCACACCCGGCGATGCACAGGGGTTACTCCTGGCTCTGCAGTCAGGAATTACCCCTGGCAGTGCTCAGGGGACCATACGGGATGCTGGGAATCGAACCTGGGTCAGCCGCGTGCAAGGCAAACGCCCTCCCCCCTGTGCTATCGCTTCAGTCCCAAGTTCTTTGTTTTGATTCTGGGGACTGGAAGTCCCAAATGCAGAGGCGGGTGTGTGTGTTTGGGGGCGTGGGTGGGGAGGCCTGTGCTCTTCTGAACCTGTAGGGTGTGGGTCATCCCTGGCTTTCTCCTTGAGCTGCCTGTGGACCCACCCCGTGTTTATTCTTATCAACCCCGTTTTTATTTTTGAATTAAAACGGATTTTTGGTTTGGGGGTTTTGGATCACACAGCGATGCTCAGGGGTTACTCCTGGCGGTGCTTGGGGGACCATATGGGATGCTGGGGCTTGAACCCGGGTTGCACACGTGCAAGCCAAATGCCCTACCCGCTGTGCTGTCACTCCGGCCCCATAACATGGATTTTATTTGGAGGTTTTCGGAAGGGAAAGGAGGGCGATAAAGAGGGAGAGAGTACAGTAACATGCTCGGGAGAGCGCACGGACTTCTCCAGGGGGCGGAGAGAGGCCCTGCACACGTCCCAGCATTAGACATGAAAGTACACGTTTCAAGAGGGGAGATGCAGGCGCCACGTGGGCACAAGCAGCACATGGGCTCGGGCGGCGTATGCACGCCACAGCCCTGTTTTTAGTGGGATGGCCGCACCCAGCCAGGATGGGCCCTGGCTCTGCTCGAGGGTCATTCCTGGCAGGGCTGGGGAACCATCTGCAGGGCTGGTATCGAATCCTTGTCAGCAAGCTAAGAGCCTTCTCCTCTCTACTCCCAGGCCCCTGAGTGTTTGGGGGCCACACCCGGTGGTGTTCAGGGCTGACTCCTAGCTCTGCACTCGGGAATCCCCCTTGGTGCTGTTCCGGGACCCTATAGGATGCCAGGGATCGAACCCAGGTGGGCTGTGTGCAAGGTGAGCTCCCTCCCTGCTGTGCTGTCGCTCTGGTCTCGGTCCCAAGTGTCTCTGTGGATAAGGTCGGCAGCTACCCAGGAACTGTGGCTGCAATGTTCGAGCACTGTCAGGAGTCATTCCTGAGCACTGTTGGGTGTGTGTCCCCCCTCCTCCCCCCAGGAAGCAAAGCCTGCTATGGCTAGGGTGTGAGTGCAGGGGTTAAAATCCTTGCTCTGGGGCTGGAGCGATAGCACAGCGGGGAGGGCGTTTGCCTTGCCTGCAGCCAACCTGGGTTCAATTCCCAGCATCCCATAGGGTCCCCCCGAGAGCACGGCCAGGAGTAATTCCTGAGTGCATGAACCAGGAGTAACCCCTGAGCATCACTGGGTATGACCCAAAAAGCAAAAAAAAAAAAAAAACCCAAACAAACTTGCCCTGCACACAGCTGTCTCCATCCTGGGTGCTGTATAGGATCCTATCGCCTGGCCAGGAGTGAGCCCTGAACACCACAGGGTAAGACCCCCCCCCCCAAACAAAAGAAAAAAACTACTGGACTGGAACTGGAGTGGCCCTGAGTCTTTGCTTGGGGTCTCTGCAGTGGGTGGATGAAACGGGAAACGCTTACCAGAACAGGAAGGGGGTGCTTCCTCGCTTCCCGCCTGCCTCCTGCCCACACCCCACAGCTGTGTGGAATTTCCTGGGAAACGAGGATGGTGAGGGGCAGCCTTGGGGTGGGGAGAGGGCACCGGTGTTTCTCATTTGCAGGAATCTTTGTTTTTGTTGGGGGGGGGGGCCACACCCAGCGGAGCTTGGGGCCGCTCCTGGCTTTGTCCTCGGGGATCACTCCTGGCTGACTCAGGGTGTCAAGGCTTCTGGAGAGTGAACAGGCAGGGCATGCAAGGAAGAAAAGACGCTGGGGGTGGAGGAAACATGGAGGGCTTCCTGGAGGTGGTGACCTGGCACAGGCTGTGGAACGAGAGAGCCCCTGCCACTTTGGACCTGGTCACTCCATGTTCCTGCTCCATTGAACCTGAGTTGGTGGCGTGCGAGGCCAGTGCCCTCCCTGCTGTGCTCTCTCCCCATCCGGTCCTTTGTGCCATATTCTGAGGGCTGGGACACAAGCCCCGATTTGGTGAATTTTTCTCTGTGGCCTTTTCTCAGGGATAAAGTGGGAGAAGGAAGCAGGATTCGGAGGCTCACACTGGCTGTGGGTTAGAAATGGGCTGGGCTGGAGCATCGCACAGCGGGGAGGGCGTTTGCCTGGCATGCAGCCGGCCTGGGTTCGATCCCCCCGCATCCCAAGCACTGCCAGGAGTAATTCCCGAGTGCAGAGCCAGGAGGAACCCCTGAGCATCGCCGGGTGTGAAAACCAAAAGCCAAAATAAATAAATAAATGAGGAACCCAGGGGGGCTTTTCCCAAGACCCCAGGTGATGAGAGACCGATGAAGTCAACCCAAGCACAGGGTCTTACAATGGGATGGGGACTTCATTCATTGGTGGCTTCCGGCATGACTGAGGACGTGGCAAAAGACCAGAGAGGTTTGGG